AACGTTTTCCCTGAAAGCAGGTATTCCTTAGTGCGAGGAGGATACAACCTTTGCAGTGCCGAGGACCTCTTTTATCACCTGTGGACCCTCCGTGCCTCTTCTTAATAGTTTTAGATGCATGAGAAATACAACTGATTATACAGGAAGACAGTTATCCTTAGATATTATCAAAATATTTTTAAAACGTGAAATACTTTATCTATTTGTTAATGAAGGCGTTTAAATTATAACGTCCAGCAGCAGCTCTAATAAGCCTTTGATTTAACTCTAGGTAGCATCACACAAGTCCTGTGAATACTGCCAGGGTTTATGGACAGCATTCAAGATGTAAGGAAATGGCATCTTGTACTTGGGGTTGGTGAGAATAACTGTGTATTTTTTTCCCATCCAAATTCACAGACTTCTGTGCATTCTCTCTGGAGGCTCCAAGGAGCTCTGACTTAAGAACTCTGATTTAGGAGGATTAAGGGGTTAATGGCTTTACCCCTCTTGGGCCATCTTCTCCAGGAGATCAGAGACCATGCAGACCTGTGCTTATGTGTCAGGGCCTTTGCACACAGCTAAATACATATTTAATAATAACTATTCCTCCTAGCATTGTTCCAGAGTGTTTGTCTGTGTGCTCTTGTGCATTTTATGCACTGATTCCAGAAACTGTTACCCAAGCTTTATCCAAGACTGCACAGCTGGTTTTATCTAGAACCAAAGCAGCCTGACTCCAGAGGGAATCAGAGAGTGGATGACCTTCTTAGATCGAGGTCTCCAAAACTGGGGTAAAGACAGAGCCACCAACTCCACAGAGTTACAGTAGGACTCATGACATGATTTGTGAGTGGCACCCACTCAGTGCAGGGCCACGCTGCTCAGCTGGGGCTTGGCAGTACTCTCAGATCGCACAGAGCAGCACAGAGGAAGGTGGGTGTACAGCATTGCCCTGATTGTCACCAGCAACCCGAGATGGCCCAAGGGACCCTGGGCTCTGGATGTATTTCTGATGGAGGGAGAATCATGACAGGGCTGTGTTCAGTTTTCCGGAGACCCAGGGGAGGTAGAGGGTGCTGTCATCTGTTACTGAGAACCCGAAGTGCAGGGGTGAAGGGAGGGGTGAGGAGTGGAGGGGCAGGAGGGAAGCGTTTTGCTCAAAGGATTGTTGACATGAGAAAGCTGCTGTCCTGAGGCTGCAGAGCAGACTCGCAGTGCTGTGTGGGACGAGTGCTGCTCCTTCTGAGAACGGGAGTAACCTGCTGTCTTTATGAGCCTGGTGCAGACGGGAGGACGCACACAGAAGGCATGTGGACAGAACTCGGAGAGCTGCCCTCCTGCAGCCCGACCCACTCCGATTCCAGTTCTACATCCCCTCCGCTCTGTCTGCTGGGCCTCTCCTAGGGACTTAGCCTCTCTGGTCTCTAGTATCTTCATCCTTAAAGCAAAGGAGAGTTGAGTCCATCCCTGGGGCTCAGGTGTCATGTGCATAGGTGGCCTGAGGTGATCCCACGCCCGGCAGCTGCAGCTGTACCTCAGCCGTGCTCAGAAGGTGTAACGTCTAGAGAAGTGCCGGCGCGCTGTCCTGCTGTGAGTCCCTGGTTTGCGGTTCTGGCACTTTCCTCCAAGCTGTTCACGCTCCGTGAGCCCCTGGGCAGGGGTGAGCGGGCAGCAGCCCGGAGCTCTGTGGTTCCCGGTTTGAAGTCCTACAGGCTCCATGGGGACACACTGTTTGCCCAGACCACACTGATACAGTCCTTCAAAGGGAGAGCTGCTTCCCCAAGGCCATGTCTTCGTCTTCCAAAGCTCCCTCCAGGATTGGTATTCTCGGGTTCCTGCGCTGAGCCAGGGAAGGGGGAACGAGAGGCGTCCAAGCAGTGTGTCCTGTAGTTGGTCCCACCTGCTTTTCCGAGGTGCTTCCCGCTCTCTCCTCCCTCCCTGGTCAAGCAGGCCTGTGAGAGGAGACCTGGGCCCCCGCCCTCCCCTTCGCAGCTGGTGCACTGTCTCCCTCCGCCAGCAGGCAGAGTCACTTCTTGTCAACAGTATTGTGAAGTAGTGAGTGTGTGCCAGAGCGCCTTGTTTGCGCCGTCTGTCGCTGTGACTCCCGATCGATAGTGTGCTGTTACCACAGGTGTGACATCACCACAGGCGTGACATCACGCGCTGGGAAGAGGCCCAGGGGAGAAGCCCTGTACTCCAGACAGAGCGAGGCCCTTGCAGAGAGAGCATATCCCATCAGCTTCTCTAAAGCCCAGGATGAAGAAGGGGAGTCTGAGTGTTTGCTTGTGGAACTATTGTGAGAATGTGCTTGACGTTGATTTAGAGTCCAAGGACCTTGGGTGCTCTGCTAGAAACCTTTCTGTTAGCAAAGAAAGCCTGGGGTTGTAATGAAAGACGGTTCAGAGGGAAGGCGGAAATGCCCAGAGCTGCAGTGGGCAGCCCCCTAGGTGCCTGTGAAAGCAATCAGCCCCCGGGGGAGTGCAGTCAGGCCCCAGAGAAGGCAGAGGCTGAAGTCAGGGTCCCTCACGGGGCACTTGTGTATAGAGCTGGGTGTGGAGGCTCCCACGGGATACAAGGCTTGGCTTTTGTACAAAAGGACATCAAGATTTGCAGAGAAGGTAGAGTCTGCGGTGACCACGGTTACAGGAAAGGAAGATGCGAGCACTCCGCAGCTGCTGTTAGCTGGTGTGGGGCTTCTGGTGCTCCGCATAGACAGTGGAAGATGCCCGAGCCTTGGGGCAGAGTCGGGTGTAGATCTTTTCTGGGTTTCCCCCTCTGCTTTCTTGAAAAACCAGCCTCTTACCAAGTTGGGGTATTTAAAAAACGGAAGCCTCGCGCCACCTAGCGCCTGTGCTGTCACTTCACCCTAGTTGTCAGTAGAAGCCTCCCTGCAGGTTCTTTGTTTGGTGCCCCTGCTGTGGCGGCATTTTCGTGGCAGTCATAGCAGTGTCTCCCGGGGTTCTGTGGGGCAATGGGAATGCCTAATTGTGGAGCGCACCCCTTCCTTTCCTTGTGTGTCCCGCGAAGCGCATCTGTCCCACGAAGCGCGTCTCTCCCGCTGCTTTGTGGTTTGGTAATGGAAGAGCAAAGCAGTGCCTCCCTGTAGGAACCCATCCCTGCCGTCCTCCAGCAGCCATCCTTACCGCTGCCCTGCCTTCCTGGTGTGCACACGGCCCTGCGACACCAGGCTGCCTTGGATTTGGGGACCTGGGTGGGCACAGAGGAGGCCGGCACTGCTGGGCTGCTTGAGGCCTCCTTGGGCTTCCACACACACCAGCAAATGGGAGCCAGGCCTTGCTCCCCCACCTGTTTTCTGCTCCACGGCCTAAACCTGCACGTCCTCCTTCTACACCTGGCTGACACAAACCTCTCAGCTTCACGTCTTGGCTGCCGTGGTGCTCGCCGCCCCTGACCACTCTCCCTCCCTGGTTTGCCCCCAGCTAGCCGTGGGCAGCACCGCCTGGTGCCCCTCCTCTTCTCTGGGGCCTTGTGCACTCAGCAGGGGACAAGGGATCCTTGTCAGGGACAGCTCAGTCCTGTCACTGCAGGTTCCAACCTTTCTTGTGGCTTCTACGGTCTTGTGGGAGAAACCACCTTTTTCACGGTTACTTGGTTGGTTTGTAATACTGGGATTTTACCCAGAGCCTTTGCACTGAGCTCCATCCCCAGCCCTTCTGAAGGTTCAAAAATTCTTTGAGACAAGGCCTTGCTAAGTTGCCTGGGCTGGGGCAGTTTGAGATCCTCCTGCCTCAGATTTCCATCTCTGTCTCCCAGGACCCACAGCTTGAGCCAACTCCTTCCCTAAAGCACTTGGAAAGGCCCATCCTCTCTCCCCTCCCTGCACCTCTTCTTCATCCTCACCGTCAGCTCTGACGGAACTAGGGGTTGTTCGGTGAATCCTTGCTTGCTTGTTTAGATCAGTGGTCTCCACACTGGGCAGGTCACACACACCTGCGCCCTGGCACCAGGGCATTTGTGAATATCTGGAGACGTGGGGTCGTCCCAGCAGGGTGGGCAGTGTCCCTGGCACTGGGGCCGGAGTCCAGGGCTTCTCCTGCGCAGGAGCATTTCCCAGAGCTCCTGGGGTCCAGGTTTTGGGGCCCAAAGAACCCTCACCTGCCATGCAAGGGCAACTTGATGTTCTCAGCCTTCTGCAGTTTTGTTTGTAGATAGATGTAGATCCATGTTGTCTCCAAAACCTGCAAACCACAAAGATTGAAAAGACACATTAATCAGACCTTTCCTTATGCCCCGCATCATGGTAATTGCCCAGGACACTGCTGGGCCCCAGAAAGTCACCCTTTCTATATGACCTTCAACTTAGTGTCAGGTTACATGTGTTTATGTACATCTGATCTGTTTACACTAAAATTTCACCCACAATTTTAGTGGAGACTCTCACTGAGGTAAGTGTCCTGGCTTCTTCAAAACGAGTATTCTGAAGAAAATAGAGGCCAGTTAGGTTAAAAGAATGCCAAGGGGGCCAGGCGTAATTGTGCATGCATGTAATCCCAGCACTCAGGATGCTGAGGCAGGAGGGTTGCCAGTCTCAGGCCAGTGTGGGCAACTCATCCAGCCCTTGTGTCAGAAAAAATGAAAGAAGAGCCTAAAGGGACCGGGGATAGCTATAAATGATCTTTGAGAAAGCGAGGGAAAGTTGAATATGGATTGAGAATGTGAGAACGCAGTTGGGTTAATAGTTAGTTTCCTAGCTGGGATAGTAGCGTTTTGGTCCCGTGGAACAATGGCCATATTCTTAGAGGAGGCAACACTGAGGGTTGAATTGTCAGTGTGTCTGCAATCTGCCTCCAATGGCTCAGCTGGAAAACAGCTAAGCTCTGTATGTAGGCGTGCACGTGCCCGTAGACGGAAAGGGATGCGCACAATGTCAGCAGTAGGTGGATGCAGGTGAAGGGAGCGCAGGCGTTTCCTCTGCCGTCATTTCGTTGCCAGGAGGGGCACCAGCAAAGGGTGTGTTATGCCAGGAAAGCCCCTGAAGCTCACTGCTGTATCTTCAGTTTGCAGCTCTCCGCCCATCCACATGAAGGTGCAGCCCCTGAACCAGTCGGCGCTGCAGGTGTCCTGGAGCCAGCCAGAGACCATCTACCACCCCCCTATCATGAACTACATGATCTCCTACAGCTGGACCAAGAACGAGGACGAGAAGGAGAAGACATTCACGAAGGACAGCGACAAAGAATTGGTAAGC